CTCCATCAATTATAGCACGAACTCGAAAATTATTGACAATGAGGAATATTTGAAACAAATTATGACGTTGTAGCTTGTCTACTGGCTCAACTTGTGTACTCAAAATACGCTGGACAAGGATTGATTTATAGTTTACAGTGCATGCCACACTATCAATTACCTCATTAGGATCTTCAGCACTATCCACAAATTTATCTACATAAAGATCAGTTGCAAGTGCAAATTCATTCTCTTCGTCACTAGCACTAGCATACCCACCATCATCAGTAGCAATATATGCGCATTTGCTGGGGCATTCTTTAGCAATATGTCCCATGCCCTTGCAGCGGTGGCAAACAACTTTAGAAGAGCTACTAGAGGAAGGTGTAGCAGATCCACTAGAAGAAGGTGTGATAGGAGAACTCTTCTTTGCAAGCGCTGGTGGTGTCTGCACATTAGAAAATTTACTCACCTTGGTTGGACGTGAAGGAGTGGATGGAGACATGGAACGCATAGGTTGTCATCTCTGTACTTCTCTTTCAGCTTTCAGAGCATAATGATATAATTGAAAAAATCTAGTCAATTCTTTATAGTCAAGAACATCTTGTATATCACGACGCAAACCTCCAAAAAATCTAGAACACTTATCCATTTTATCCTCTTGTATGTTACTACGTGCTAGACCAATTAAAAGCTCTTGATAATACTCCTCAACACTCTTACTATCTTGATTTAAATGCTGCAGTTTTAATCGTAGATCACGCTGATAATATGGAGGAATAAATCTCGATTTCATTCGTCGTTTAAGTACAGTCCAAGTTTGAGGTATTTGAGCATTAGCATTAGCATTAACATTATTGCAAATATCATTCCATCAGAAAAGAGCAAAACTAGTAAACTCACTAGTAGCAAGTCTAACTCTATATTCTTCACGTACTTGATGGGAGCTAAATTTTTGATCTACAACCATCTCCTAATCTAAATATGCTTCAGGATCAACAGAACCAGAAAAAGAAGGTATCTTAAACTTGGTTTTAGAGAAAGGATCATTATTATCTTGGTTATTACCTCCCATACCGCGTCGATTAAAGTTCAACCGATTACGGTTACGTGCATCCTCAACACGTCGTCAAGCTTCGGCTTCAGCTTCAACCTCCGCGTCGCCATCCTCCTCCTCAGAGAGATCATCATCATCAACATTTTCAGGACGTGGTTTAGGATGTCGTTGTTCAACATCTTCAATCCTCTTGGCTAAGTTGGTGATTTGTTGAAGGATCTCATTAAACTTGTCATCAAGAACGGCACAAAGCTCATTCTTGAAAACACAGTCATTGAAATCTGTAGGTGTGTCCCCGTTTCCTTTGCTGTTGCCTCCGGCTTTTCCTGACATGGTTAGTAGAAAGGAGAAGATAACACAAATAGTATTATCCCTACCAACTACTTAGGTTGTGGACAAGGAAAAATAAGGCACTCAACTCTCAAGCGTCTTACCACGGTCTTACAAGTGTTCTGACCAAAGCAACATGCGGTGCAATCGGTCGGTGACTGTGATACCGTTGTAGCTTGAGTGTAACAGTTGCAAGGCGAACCTTCACTTGGTTAGAAGAAAGTGGAGCTTGGACATGCACAATATAGTAGTAAGGAATAGCAATAATCGCAACTAAATAGCAAAGCTGAATAAGTATCCCGAGTACTTGTCTTAGATGCTGGCCTATTCACGTTCCAAGTACCAGATGTATCAAATGATGTGAACAGTAGGAATATGATTAGAAACAAGGCGGAAATCAGCACACACAAACACAGCCCAAATGGCGCCCTCTATGTGCTCCTCTAAATATTGTTTCACCTTTGTCCCTCTCTTTTTTCTCTATTTTTGGGCTGTCGTTGTTTTTTGGGTTTCTTTGACTTTTTCTTTTTATTTTTTGATATTTTTTCTTCACTTAGGAGAAGTAACCACAGAAAATATGAGCTTAAACAAGTGAAAGACATGGCCTGTGGAAAATTCAGAAGACGTGCTCAAAATTGACAAACAGCTTATGACCACGAAAAGAGGATCTTGTGACCAGTTTTTGGCCAAAATAAAATTTTTCGAACCCCGCTACGTTGGGGACTAGCGGATCCAAAATTTTTTTCTGATCGATTTTGATATATGGAACGTCGAAATCCAAGTTTGTATGCGAAAACTAGACCAGTTTTGAGAACTGCCTCTGAATTAGAGGACAAAATGGAAACAATGCACGTAAAATTGGTCATGGCAACAGTGAAGACAAGTGTAACAAATTAGATGACGTGGACTAGGGCTTGATGGATACAAAGGAAACATAGCAAGACTTGAAGGTGTTCACAGATTACGATGAAGAACAAAGGGAAAAACACAAACTGGACTAAAAAACGATCTAAAACCAGCAACCAGAACTTGTCCTAAGACACAAACTCAACAACGCGAAACAGAAACGAAATTACACGGCACAACGAGGCTATAGGATAGAGAATATGAGGCGGTGTATATTTTTTTGGCTTTTTGTGGACTATAGGTAATGCAAAAACAGTAACAATTTAAAGGGGAAAATAAAGTTATACCTAATGGACAATAAGGCCTCTGATACCACTTGATGTAGACAAGGTCCGATCTTCTGAAAGGTATGATAGCGTCGATTGGTGGAGACTCGACGTTCACGATCTAGGCTTCGAACCAAGACAGATTCGGACCCCGCAACCGTTACACCACTGCTCCATTGGTTATCAACCACGCGAACACGATTAACCTCGCCGAGAAGGCTTTTCTGCAAGCGAATCGAGAACACAAGCAAGAACGGGATGAACGTAATCTGAAATTGCAAATAAATATGAGGCTTATGATAACGAGAAGGAGTTCAAGTCTTTATTCGAAAGGACTAATCGCCATAGGCGAACAAGATCAAGAACAGGGGCCCTGGTTCACAGCAAGCAGCCTTGGCGGCACAATTGCAGCAAAACAACATCTGTTTCACGAAAATCAAGAACTAAATAAAACCCAAACCCTAAGAAGAGCGACGACTGCTAATTATAGAGTCTTAGGCGTCACCCCCTGGACGCGCCCCTAATGGGCTCAAACACGATACACGGTCCAACGGATTAAAAGACGGTGTCGCAGCACCCTAGCAGATTCTGGACGCTGACTTGTTTCGACGATTTCTGTTGATTTCGAAAGGCTTTTGACGTGAGACCACTTGTATTGGCTTCCTTATCTAATTAGCTTTCTATCCATATGTGGATCGTCGAAAACGGAGCCCGGACGCGCCCGTGTGACCAATTTTATGACAGATTGGTCCTGGAACCCGAGATGGGCTCCAACTTCAGTTGGACTGGACCTCCACCATGAGAAAGATGAATTGGACGCCCATGTTGGACCTCCTCCTCTCCTTGGCTTGTATGTGACGAAGTAGTGCTGTCCTCATCAGTAACAAGCCAGCAATACACATCGCAGCTTTTGATAATCTAAACACTATTGATGGCTAAATGTATAAAGTAGGAAAAAATCCAATTTACCTCCCCAACTATCGCGGGATTCGGAGCGGAGCGGAGAATTATCTGCATCACTTTCACCCCTATCCGCATCCATGTATTGTCCACTCGGATCTAAATCCGATAAAGAAAAGCAAATTAGGATATGGGAGAGGCTCCGCTCTGATTCGATCCGTTTTCATCCCTGCGTGGCACAACCATTAGCATGATTTTTCTCAGTCCCTATGAGCATCTCGAGATGGAATCACACAACCAAGCTTCTATATCTACACATTTTTTTTTGATGAAACTGGTGGGGTTTAAACCCCTACATGATTTTATTTAAAGTCACAAAAAACAAAGTACTAAAATTAAGAAACCAAAAAAGGAAGAAAATGAGCCCAAACACACATTTTGCCATGTATGAGATGGAATCACACGTCCAAGGTTCTATATCTACACATTTTGCCATATATGATGAGTGGCGTGAAGGAGCAGCCACCATGCATCTACACCTTTGTGTGATTGCACCCTGGTCGATGTGCATATGCTTTCGTTATTGCATAATCGACTATTTCCTCTATTTTAAATTATATTTCACTTTAATTCTATTCTAAGTCAATTTGTTTAACTAAGTTCATAAAATAAAAGTTTATCAATATCTAAATGTAAAATATAAAATTATTTTTGTTAAAGTCTCTATGGAATATGTTTTTTTTGCGATTATGCAATACAACACAAACGTTCACAACGGACGCACACTCGTCCCTATGAATATTGCATTTATTTAAGTTTATATATTTTTTTAAAATAATCTTGATCAAAGTTAGAAAAGTATGACTTAGAAGTCAAATTCAAAGGTGAAGTATAATTTGGAGCCTGAGGAATACTCCATTTTTTTCAATAAGAGTGCGATTCTCGCTATAGTGCTAATATTTTTTAAAATGCTAATATTTATGATATGATATTAAATAAATATATATCATGTAATTATTTTTGTAGTATACCTGCTTTAAATAATATAGCTGTTAATATTATTTTTCTAAACCATAGTTAAATTTAAAATAGTCTGACTTAAACTAAAAAAAATTAAATGAGACTGGACGTAGTTGACAGTTTGTTTATCGTTTAAGTGTATTCATGTTTTCAGTAGGGCTAGCTGGTTCAAGATTGCTAATACCAGCAGATCAGCGCAAATAAAACCTCAAAGCCACGAACCACAAAAACTCGAGCAATAGAGAAGTTGAAGGACCAACTGCTGAAGTACAATTTGAAATGCAAATCTGGGAAAGCTAATAACACACTACCAGGGACAATAAGGAAACATTAGCATCCGATGAACACCTACCACTTCATCATTCATAAAAAATAGACACCGTGTACAGCCAAAGCAATCCTGTAAGGTCTACCCGCTTAAAGATTTCATCGACATAAGACACATGACGTACCTAAATACAATTTTTTAGATAAACGTAATTTGAAGAAAAGCATGGGAGCAGCATCAGCTCTCTCCGTTCTTCGCCGGAGTCAAAATCGGCTCACTCTTGCTCAGATTCATAATCGGCACTCTGGAGACCCTCCAAGAATCGCTTGGCATTCTGCAGGATCTCAGAGTTCTTGCCACCGGCAACAGCTACATAGTACCACTGGAGAATGGTTTCTTCCTCAAGGACATCTCCATTATAGAGCTGATGCTGCTCATCTCCATGATAGACACCGCAGCACTGCTCTAAGTACAAATGGGATCTCCTTCAAGGCCGCAGCACTGCACTTGCTGCCAAACGCTTCTATAGCCTGGAGTAGCATGGCCTGGTGACCCTCGTCAGCAGTAGGATGGGGACAAAGGGGGGTTAAATAATAAAGATTTAAGATTAGAGCTAGATATTAATGATGATTTGAGGCTAAGTAACCGTGGTCTAATGAAAAAATCAGACTCACTAGGGGGCTGTAGCCCCGATAGCCCCTCTTTGGATCCGCCCCTGCTCGTCAGGTACGAGAGCAGCAAGGTATGCCATGTTCTTCACAACCCCTTCCTGAAATCCCTTGCCCACACCATCAAAGAGAGCCTCAAAGAGGGCGTTCATCACGTCCTTGGAATGAAGGGTTGAGGTGGAAAGCAGGCCCTTGAGCTGAGCTGCTGTGGCAGCATTGCCCAACTTATCCTTAATCTCTTCGACCAGTTCATCATAAGGATTGGTGTTAGGGATGGTTTGTTTGCCATCAGAGTTACTCCTATTTTGACGTTTTGCCGATCCATTGACAGCCACATCTTTATGGGTTCCCTGTTTTTTCTTCTCAAAAAACTCATTGGTAGAGAGCAGAACCACAGTGGCTACACTCAGCTGCTCATGCATGCGTTGTTTCATTGCTTCCAGTGAGGTGTTGGTCTGCCACTTCACGTCGTCCTCCACTACATGAAAAATGGTTTGTAGCAACGGGTTAAATTTTTTGTAGGGACGGCTGATGATGGAGCCGTCCCTACAGTGACGTGCTCGGGAGCCCAGAGACCAGCCGCCCCTACAAATGGAACAGCAGGGGCGGCTGGTGATATGAGCCGCTTCTATAAATGGGTCTGATTTGTAGGGACGGCTCACTTACCAGCAGCCCCCGGTGTTGCTATTTGTAGGGGCGGCTGGTGATTGAACCGCTTCTACAAATGTTCGGCGTATAAATACCTGCTATTTGTAGGGGCGGCTTAATCACCAGCCGTTCCTACAAATGACCCACATATAAAAAAACTACAGCACATACTTTCTCCACAGGTCACTCACTCCAACCCGTGAAAGAGAGGCTTTGGGCATCTCCCAAAAATTGCTTTACTAAGATAGGAAGGTTTTGGTCTCAAATCCTTTGGTGGAGAGGTTGTAGAAGGTAAGAAAATGCTATTCCACATTTATTTTGAAGTTTTAATGGTTGGTTAGTGAGTAATTAGAGTTTTATTTTTCTCTCTCTTCTATGGTGCTTGAGCTGCTTATGAAGCAAATTAGACCCAAGTTTTAAATGTACTAGGGTACATTAGGTAGGGGAACAAGATCATACCATTATTTGGTCCATATTTCTTGATTTTAGTGAACAATTAGTTAGTTTTATGGATTTTTCATGTGCATGTAGATCTAGATCTAGGGTTTGATTTTGTTATTAATTTTGTTTTTGTAAATTTATGTTTGATGAAATTGGACTAGGATTTGCATGAAAGATATTGGGTAAAATATAATTGTTGTTAATTTTTGTCTTTGAAATTATTTATTGTAATCAATAAATATGTATTTTAATTATTTATGGATAAATGGATCATTAATTAATTTTCCTCTACCATGGTGTGTTTGTATGCTTCATGTAATTATATTTGATTTATATTCATATATATCTGAAGTATATACAATTATTCTCAAGTAATTATTAATTTGATTCATTTTTATATATATCTGAATAAGTAGTCCTTTAATTTGATTCTAGGGTTTTGTTGTTGTTGTAAATGATGGAGTACATGAACTATTGGATGTATGGTTCGTTAAGGTTCAAGACAGGTTTTCGTGAAGAGGTGAATAAATTTATTGAAGCCACAAAGAAGCATGCAATGACGTTGACAGAGAATAAGGATACAATTATTTGTCCCTGTAAAGATTGCAAGAACCGTATGGCATGAATAGATGTGACTATCATCAGATCACATTTGATTATGCGAGGATTTGTTGAGAACTACACAGTGTGGATTCGTCATGGTGAAACAGTTATTGTTAACGACGAGAATGAGGAGGAATACGACGATGAAACCCTAGAATCCCTGTTCCAATATTTAGCAGAGCTTGATGAACGAATAGATTCCGAGTTTACAATGAACAAGGTGGTGATGCTGGTGGTTGGGATGGTAACGACGAAGGTGGTGCTAATAATGATGGTGGAGCACGTGTCGGGGATGAAGATGATTTGGAGGACATGATTTGAGCCCTTGGACCAGAGATTTTACTAAATAGCCCGAAAGATCTAGAAAATTTGAAAAGGATGACAAAAGCATCGACGGCGACTGTGTATGGTGTTGAAAAAGGTTGTCCGACACATTGGACATTGCTATGTTTTGTGCTTGAGCTAGTCATTCTGAAGGCTAAGTACGGCTGGTCAGACTGTAGTTTCAATGATCTATTGCATCTCCTGTCATGGGTGCTGCCACAACCAAACTCAGTTCCCGCCAACACATATCAAACGAAGAAGGTCATAAGTCCATTGATAATGGGGGTTGAAAAAATTCATGCATGCCCGAACCACCGTATACTTTTTCATGGAGAAACGTTCAAGTCACTGGATAAATGTCCCCAGTGTAGGGCCAGCCGGTACAAGAACAATGACCTTTATGGTGGGGACGAAGCCTCCACGGGAAAAAAGAGGAATAAGAAGGGTACAAAAAAGGTGGTACAAGAATCTCAGCCCCCAGAGGACACCCCATTAGGCAACGATTCAAAGCAGAGAAGAATTTCTGCCTTGGTAATGTGATACCTGCTAGTGACCGACCGCTTGAGACGTATCTTCCTAAACCCTAAAGAAGCCGCACTCATGACATGGTGGGATGATGAGCGCAAGGTGGATGATGATAAGATTGCACACCCGGCTGATTGTAGTCAGTGGCAAAGGTTCGATGAGAAGCACAAAGAATTCAGCGATGACCCGAGGAATGTACGGTTTGGTTTGAGCACCGATGGAATGAATCCCTTCAATGAGAGGATGAGCGACCACATCACTTGGCCAGTGATCTTGACCATGTACAACATTCCAACGTGGTTGTGTCAGAAGAGAAAGTACCTTCTCCTCACTATTCTAATTTCTAGCCCTAAACAACCAGGCATTGAAATAGACGTGTTCCTCGAGCCTTTGATACAAGAAATGGAGAGGCTATGGAGGCATGGGGAGCCGATGTACGATGCGTTCCGAAAGGAGGACTTCATATGTAGAGCAATAATATTTATTACTACCAATGATTACGCCGCGTTGTTTGCTTTGTCTAGATAGATCAAAGGGAAGACGGGATGCTGGGTTTGCTTGGATGGTATTACATGGGTGTACCTAGATGCATCCAAGAAGATAGTTTACCTAAGGAACTGACGCTTCTTAAAGACAAGTCACAAGTACCACAACAAATTATTCTTTAGATTTTATGACAACACCCCGGAGATTGAACCCCCTCTAGAGAGACGTCATAACAGAGAACACGTGTATAGAATGGTGAAAAACATACGCGTCGTCTATGGAAAGAAGAATCCGGATGGAACGAACAGAGATAGAAGCACACCTCCTATCGAAGGCGTACCTTTCAAGAAACAATCGATCTTCTTTCAGTATCTGCCTTATTGACCAGACTTGGAGGTCCCCCATGCCATTGATGCTATGCACATGTAGAAGAATGTCTTTGAGAGTCTCATTGCTACCTTGATGGACACAGGCAAGTCAAAGGATGGTCTGAAAGCACAGAAAGACATGGTGCAGCTAAACGTGATGCCACAACTTCACCTGGTACCTGAGGCTAATGGAAAATATACTCTACCCACGGCGTGCTTCAACCTAACACCAGACGAGAAGAGAGCTATATGCACTTTCCTGAGGGGGGTCAAAGTCCCGACTGGGTTTTCAGCGAATGTGAAGAAGCTAATGTCGATGAAGGACTTATCAATAACACACTGCAAGGCTCACAATTGTCATGTGATGCTGACAGCGTTTCTACCTATTGTAATCAGGGCTATAAAGCCAGAGTTCTTGAAAATGGCCATCACCCGCATGTGCTACTTTTTTTCAAAGATCTCACAGAAGACGATTGGCAAGCAAGAGCTGAGTGACCTACATGAATTTATGGTGGAGACACAAAACCAACTAGAGATGTGTTTATCTCCTGCTTTTTTTATATAATGCCACATCTTATGATTCACATGGTTCATCAGATACAGGCGCTGGGCCCTTGCTACTTGCATGAAATGTGGTCTTACGAGCGGTTCATGTCGGTTCTAAGTCGATACGTGCATAATCGAGCATACCCAGAGGGCTCCATGATAGAGGGTTACAGTACTAAAAAAGTCGTCGAGTGCTGTCAAGAGTACCTAAAAGTATAGAAAGGGATTGGTAAACCCGATTCTCGTCACAAGGGTAGGCTGGCTGAGAAGGGCACCAGTGGTAGAAAAGTGTCCATCGACCATGATTACAAAGAGGTGAGTTGGACGCATTACAGTGTCTTGCAGAGTACACAACTGATGCAACCGTACATTGATGAACACTTAGTTATCATTATGACGGAGAGAAATGGTCGTTCGGATGATTGGGTCATGAAACAGTACAAGCAACAACTAACTATATGGTTAAAGGACCAAAACATACCGCCTGAAGAAACTATAGACTCTATTATCATCAGTAGGTTGGCGGAGGGGCCATCGAGACAAGTGACATCTTAGAATGCTTATGACATCAATGGGTATACGTACTATACCCACGTAAAGGATAGTAAATATGTGAACCAAAATAGCGACGTTCGAATAGAGGCTCTCGATGGATTGGGGCGAAAGATCGAATACTTTAGCATCATTTAAGAGATATGTGAACTTGACTATGGGGATATAACGGTGGCTCTGTTTCGATGCCGTTGAATCAAACAACACCAACTGAACAAGATTAGATTGAGAGTCCTGGACCTCGAGAATCTAGGCTACCAAGATGAACCTTGGGTGCTCGTTTCACGTGTCGCACAAGTTTTCTATATGTCTGTCCCACAAAGTAACCTTCCCCCAAAGAAGAAGACAAATCACGTGGTTGCCTCCGAGAAACAGCACATTATCGGAGTTGATGGCGTGGACAATATTGAAGCTTACAATAACTACGATGAGATGCTACTATTCACAGACTTTCCTAAGAAGATCAGTATTGTGGAAAAGAACCTACCCAAAGACATATTGCCATGGAAAAATCATTACAGCAGGCTCACTAGTTGTTGAACGTGGAGTGTTTGTGTAAGTGTGTGTTTGTAAGACTTCATTTATGCATGCATGTGAGACTATATATTTATGTATGTGTATAAGACTATATATTTATGCATGTGTGTGAGACTACATTTATGCATGTGTGTGAGACTACCATTTGCAACATCTAGATGAACCTATTTCAACATCCACTCTATTACTACTAAAACTTTATAAAATCACTTAACACTTTATGAAATGAAGAAATAGCCAAAATAAAAGTAGGAGATCTTGACGAGTTATACAACTTTTATATTCATCAGCTTTACAGCTGAAATCATTTAGTGGTTGAAAATCAGGTTTGAAGCTGTCATTTTCTGAAATTCAAAATTTGAACTGTTCAAATTTTGTCAAATAAAAAAATGACAAAAAAAGTT